CAATAACGATGATTAAATGCATGATAGTGATGATTACAGTCTGCGCATTGATAATAACGATGATTAAATGCATGATGGTGATGATTACAGTCTGCGCATTGACAATAACGATGATTAAATGCATGATAGTGATGATTACAGTCTGCGCATTGATAATAACGATGATTAAATGCATGATGGTGATGATTACAGTCTGCGCATTGACAATAACGATGATTAAATGCATGATAGTGATGATTACAGTCTGCGCATTGACAATAACGATGATTAAATACATGATAGTGATGATTACAGTCTGCGCATTGATAATAACGATGATTACACGTATAATATAGATAATTACAGTCTGCGCATTGATAATAACGATGATTACACGTATGATAGTGATGATTACAGTCTACGCATTGATAACAACGATGATTACACGTATAATATAGATAATTACAGTCTGCGCATTGATAATAACGATGATTACACGTATGATAGTGATGATTACAGTCTACGCATTGATAACAACGATGATTACACGTATAATATAGATAATTACAGTCTGCGCATTGATAATAACGATGATTACACGTATAATATAGATAATTACAGTCTACGCATTGATAATAACGATGAGTAGAGGTATGATAGTGATGATTACAGTCTGCAAATTAATCATAACGATGATTACATGCATGACAATGGTGATTACAGTCTRCRCATTGATAATAAYGATGRTTAYACGTATGRWAGTGATGATTACAGTTTGTGCATTGATTATAACGATGATTAAATGCATGATATATTGATAATTACAGTCTGCGCATTGATTAGAACGTTGATTACATGTATGATAGTGATGATTACAGTCTGCGCATTGATTAGAACGTTGATTACATGTATGATAGTGATGATTACAGTCTGCGCATTGATAATAACGATGATAACACGTATGATAGTGCATGATTGCAGTCTGCGCATTGATTATAACGATGATTACATGTATGATAGTGATGATTACAGTCTGCACATTGATAATAACGATGATTACATGTATGTTAGTGATGATTACAGTCTGCTCATTGTTGATAACGATGAATACACGTATAACATTGATAATTACAGTCTACGCATTGATAACAACGATGATTAAATGCATGATAGTGATGATTATAGTCTGCACATTGATAATAACGATGAATACACCTGTAATATAGATAATTACAGTCTGCGCATTGATTAGAACGATGATTACATGTATGATAGCGATGATTACAGTCCGCGCATTGATTATAACGATCATAACATGTATGATAGTGATGATTACAGCCTGCACATTGATAATAACGATGATTACACGTGTAATCGTGATGATTACAGTCTACGCATTGATAATAACGATGATTACACGTATGATAGTGATGATTACAGTCTACGCATTGATAATAACGATGATTACACGTATGACAGTAATGATTACAGTCTACGCATTGATAATAACGATGATTACATGTATGATAGTGATGATTACAGTCTGCACATTGACAATGACGATGAATACACGTATAATATAGATAATTACAGTCGGCTCATTGATAATAACGATGATGTATGATAGTGATGATTACAATTATTTACATTGAAAAAAATGAGTACATTATTGAGAATGATAATAGTTAATGATGATAACAGCTATGACAGACGATGTTTACAGTGTGATAATAACGATGATTTTGGCTGTGATAGTGATGATAACATCATTAGTATTGCTAGTAACGTTGAATACGTTTATGATTGCGATGTTAACTCCATTTGAAATGATAACAACGATGTTTAGTTCAATGATATCGATGATATTATCATTTACAGTGATATAAACGATGATTATGGCAATAAAAACGAAATAAAAACAGAATTATCAATTAAAATAAATCAAANGTCTGCGCATTGATTAGAACGATGATTACATGTATGATAGCGATGATTACAGTCCGCGCATTGATTATAACGATCATAACATGTATGATAGTGATGATTACAGCCTGCACATTGATAATAACGATGATTACACGTGTAATCGTGATGATTACAGTCTACGCATTGATAATAACGATGATTACACGTATGATAGTGATGATTACAGTCTACGCATTGATAATAACGATGATTACACGTATGACAGTAATGATTACAGTCTACGCATTGATAATAACGATGATTACATGTATGATAGTGATGATTACAGTCTGCACATTGACAATGACGATGAATACACGTATAATATAGATAATTACAGTCGGCTCATTGATAATAACGATGATGTATGATAGTGATGATTACAATTATTTACATTGAAAAAAATGAGTACATTATTGAGAATGATAATAGTTAATGATGATAACAGCTATGACAGACGATGTTTACAGTGTGATAATAACGATGATTTTGGCTGTGATAGTGATGATAACATCATTAGTATTGCTAGTAACGTTGAATACGTTTATGATTGCGATGTTAACTCCATTTGAAATGATAACAACGATGTTTAGTTCAATGATATCGATGATATTATCATTTACAGTGATATAAACGATGATTATGGCAATAAAAACGAAATAAAAACAGAATTATCAATTAAAATAAATCAAAACACACCTGTGAGCGCGATATCAATAGTATAAGAAAACATAATAGCAGTGGCAGTGACTAAAACAGTATTCAAAATGATAATAAGATTGTTTTTATTCATATAATGATGTTTATTCTAAGATTTCTCGTTTTGTTTTGTTTATTTCTTCAGAAAGTCACAAAACTGCAAAAATACATGTTTCAAAGTAAAAATAGCAAAAAAAGTAGAAAAGGAAAGTAAATATAGTGAATATAAAAAGCGTGCATTAATTAGGGAAGCAAATATCAAATAAATGTAGCTAATACACATAGTGAGTATTTGCTACGGTAGCAAATACCCACACTAATGTAGCAAATACCCACTTTACGTAGCAAATACCCATATGGGTATTTGCTACCGTAGCAAATACCCATGTGGGTATTTTCTACCGTAACAAATACCCACAATGGGTATTTTCTACGGTAGCAAATACCCACGTGAATCTTTTCGCGTAGCAAATACTCACGTATATCTAACTATCTCTCTCTCTCTCTCTCTCTCTCTCTCTCTCTCTCTTGTCGCCTTCAAATCGGAAAATAAATTTCTATTGAATCATATTTGCCTGTAATGACTTACACAACTGGAAAACTTGATCAATTTCCCGAATCTGTAAATTTACTGTTATACATTATTCAATTTACAGACATTTTTGATCAAGGGACATTTACAAGATATTTACAGAATGTACATAACATTTACAAATTTTGTAAAAGATTTTGTCTGTAAGTTGAACTTACAGTATATTTGTTGATTATATACAAACTCTGCAAACTAATCAACACATGTTTCTCGCTAGTTTATATTACAAATTTGTCACTTGCGATTATTACAGTGTATGGTGGAGATATGCAGTCATTCTCTCGTGTGTTGATAACTCGCGTTCAAGAGCTTTTAAGAAAAAGTGATGAGAGAAGACTTGAACAAGGTAAAAAATGGTCGACAAAAGAAGCTATGGAACATTCAGACCTCCAGGAAACAGGGACCTACAGACGGGCACTGTGGCGTAAAATACAGAATGCCATTGTCCCCATCTTATCAGAATTAATCACATATATAGACACCAATGGTAACTTAGAACTGCTACAAGAAAATAAACCTTGGTTGACAGAACTGTGGCTTCGACTCCTTCAAAACAACAAGATTACAGTAATTCAGTACTCCTCTTTCTTGACTGAGGAAAACGAAATGATCCGGAGTAAAGTGCCGGTCAAGTCATCTGGTCGAGATGGTCACTTCTTTAAGTGCTGCCTCCCGTTCTCATGGCTTATAAAGGAGAAAGTTGATGTTATGTGGGAGAACGCCAAGGGTGTTTCAGGTTAGATTGACATTTTCCCGAATAAAGTTCTTCGGTGGTATAATTGATTGGTTGGTCGATTGGTCGGTTGATTGATTCGTTCGTTCAGTCATTTTAATTGTGGCTGTCTTTGATCTGATTCAGAAAACTCACCCAACCACGAGTCCGTGGAAGAATGCCTCCGTGTACTGATGTCAAACTCTGACGTGTCAGCTATCATAGACGTAATTAACGAGCGGCAAGAAGCAGTCGAGAGATACATTCATGACTTTGTTCATATGAATTACAAACCTATAAACGGCGAGATCGAGGTAAAGGCAGCTTTTATCATCATCATCATCATTATCAACATCATCATTATCATCATGAATCATCCTTTCTCACCATTTACACCAACCCGAACAACGTCATTGCTGATTTTTTAATCACTACGACTGCCATCAACAGCAAGAAAAACAAAAAATATATTGTTTTCATTAACGCCCTAAATGTCTTCGTCCTCTCTATCCAAAAACCGTATGTTATCACTGCCCTTGACGAATGTCATCGTCTTTATCAGCTACTACGCTGTCATCGTCAATCATTGTAATTACTAGAGTTAACTCTGCCTTGCTGCATCCAACGGACGCCTTGTTCAAATGAAACTCCATTCAAAATAACGTCATTTACACTCGTTACTGAGTCCATCATAACGAGAGTCGACTGTAAAACAAATATTTTATAATGCGCGACGACCCTTTTTTATGCATTTCTTTACTGTTAGTTATTAGAGTTGACATTGTTTTACCATCTCTTAAGCTTGTTGCAAGAGCTATAATTATCACAACAAGGCAATTGCACAACCGCGACGGCGTTAACGGTGATACCACAGATTTCAACTTCCCGGATATTGCTCTGGTGCACAAGGCTTATTCACGTATTGAACACCGGCTTGCCTGCTTTAGCCATCTTGTACGATGCAAGCCTTCAGTTGTGCCACAACTTCTTAAAGTGATCTCGGTCGATGACATCGAAATGGTAAATGTAATTGAACTTCTTGCAGAAGGATAACAATACGAATATACACTTTAGGAATATTCTCTCTATTTTTTGGGTTCCAAGCCCTGAAAATTTCTTATATCATAAAAGCATTGCAATACTAATACGAGTTCAATCACAACCTTATCAGACAATTATTTTATGTTATAAGTAAGTGCTTTTTTTATATTAGACCCTCGACGTCATTGCACTCCAAATATGTCTTGAAAGCTTGGAACCTCAGCAGGTGAACATGGCAAATACTTATGACAGAAACGAATGGTGTGAACACGTGATTTCAGTGCGAGCTCCTACAGAAAGTATGATGGTCCAAGAAAAAGACTTAGAAAATGAGGAAAAGACGATGTTTATTTTAACAGCATGCAGGTATTAAAAAACGGACAGCCAGGGCAAGTGTCGACGACGCATTAAGCCGCGTCTACACGCGCGATTTTTCGCTTGCGCAGGCGACGCGATTCAGTTCTCAAAATCACCAGCGTACGATGTGGCGAAACGAGCGACAATGCTGTATCGATAAAAAAAATCCCCACAAATACTTCCATTCATGAGGGAACTGACATTTATTGACAGACATTCATATCCGCGAGTATTTTATAAGAAAGCGCGCTCTGATTCTCTCTCGATCCATTTCCACATAACCTGTCTGCTAGAGAAGGGTAAGATATGTCAAAAATATATTGTTTCTTTTCCAAGCTTTATGTCCATTAGTGGCATGCAGACCACGGTGTTTTGAAATGGATCTTGGCATATGCCTTTATTCTGTGCAAAAGAATCAAGGCGATAAAACGGTTAATATATCTATATTTCAAAGGCATCTGTGGGAGCGAATCACAGCCATTCGTCTCTTTATTGAACACGTCTATTCGTACAAGTCATCTGTCCATCAAATCAAGGTCAATCCTCAGAACTGTCAGAATATTGCTCAGTTGTGTAAAGTAAGTACAGTACATTTGATGTGTGTATTGTGTTTTGTAGACGCGTTTATATTTGTTCGTCTTTTTTAAAGGCTCTGGATGAAGAAACAGACTTTTCAAAAGCGAAATACATTGAAGCTGTTGTGCTCTTCTTGCTAGAATGCATCAATTCCTTTACAAGGTAAAAAATTGGTCAAGTTAGATGTACTAACTAATTGAAACAACGTTGTCAGGTTTGCAAAGGGTACGTCATCAAAGCTAAGATCGAAAGGGATTTTGGGTACTTGAAATTTTGATCATATTCATCACCGGAACATGCCTATTTTAATATAAGACAAGTTCATTTTCATTCAGTTCAGGCAATGATATGGAACTGAATGTCTGCTTTATAAGTAATAGTATGCTAATTATTTGGGTTCCCATGCTTCCTTTCCGTCCTGGCGCCTTTTGGAACTCGACAACCGTTTTTGAAAATACTCTACTTTTTGGTAACTAAATGCGATATATGCTCACGCTTTTCGTTTTAATACCAAAACAACTCAGCGCTACTAAAGGGGAAGTCAACGAATTTCGTCGTCAATGCAATTCATTCTTCATGGAGCTCATTTCGCTGTTGTGTTTCGGAAGCAAAGACAAGAAGTTCACTTTGGATCCAGATGTATTTGATATCTTTATGAGGTATATCACAGGAAGTAGTTCCTCTCAAACGAAAAGCTTCTCGCCATTTCCTGACTTCGAAGTTGACGAGACRCCTGTTGTGAGGTCGTTTTTACTGCAGCAACTGCTGACAACAAGGTACTGCTTTTTCCCAATCTCGGCATTTTTCATCCTCCTAGTTTTCTCTCTTTTTGTTTCTTTTTATTTCATTCATTCCTTCTTTTTATATTTTTAAATTATACGGTTTAATCAAAAGTGAATATTTTTCAGGAACAATGACGGCGTAAAAAAGTACATTCAGCGTTATCTTGTCGACGCGAGGGAGCTTTCGTCTGATGAACACCACGTGATTCGAGTATGCCAGCTTACAGCTGATTGTATGGAGGTATGTGACATCTATGTCTAGAATTTCCTTAGTTACTTAGGTTTTTATATAGAGTACTACGAGGAGGTACAGGGAGCCCGTGCACCTATTTCAAAATAAAAATTCATCCAAAGAAATTTCATCTAAAAAATAGATATCTGACCATTTATGTATAGTGAAAATTCATTTAGGTTGAAGTTAATTATTTAAGAAAATCAGGGTTTTTATTTTTCGTTTCTCCTTGACTCTTTGCGTGTGATGTTATGTGACGCCACCTATCACCCAACCTGAAAACGGCCCTCGATATGGGTATAAGGGAAGGAAAGTGTCCCTTAGAAAGACTCTATAACTTTATTTACGTTAAAGCTCTCATGACTGTGCTTAAATGTACTTTCCTTTAGGACTCCTTTGCAGCAGATATGACCGAACATACTTTTGAGCTTAAATGGTTTATGGCTGTTACAAAAGATATTATTACATCGAATGGTCAAAAACTTACAACAAACCAAGATTCCGAGAACCTTGATATCGAATTCCTCGATGCAATCTCCAAAACTCGTCATGGTTTGGGACTCACTGCTGAGTGGCTGTTTAAAAGTCGCAAGACTGATGACGACAGGTTTGAAGATATGGCTGGACCTTTGAATGAAGTTCTGAGTGTCGTTGAAGATTTTGTAAAACGTCTGAAACACCGAGCTCCACTTGTTTACCTGCTGAAGCAACTGGCAAGACGTTATGGTGAACCAGTTGTCAGAGAATTGATTCAACAGCCAGATTTGCAGTGGTTGATACCGAGAGAGTTTGAGGGTTATCAGGTAGGATGAAATTGACAAGTTCATCAAAAAACTGATCCCACAATGCATTGCCAATCATCAAGGTGAAAAGCTTCAGACGTCCATTGAGGCTGATATAGTGTAAAAGAAATCGCGATTCTCAACTATTAAAGCGCGCGTATCTAATTATACTAAACAATTAATCAAAATTTCTCATTTATTTGTGTCTTTATAGTTTATGGAAAGTGCTCCTGACAGATTTATAACACATGGTGACATATACGCTGACGTACGTGATGCCCTAGGTGACGGGCTCATGTCTGGAAACTTTGATCGCTTGTTAAGTATATTCGAGGTATAAGTAGCAGATTTTATAGATGAAATTGAAATTTTTGATGTTGTTGCTGCTGCTGCTGTTGCTGTTGTTTTTGCTGTCACTGTTGTTTCTGCGGTAATTGTTGCAGCAGCTGCTGCTGTTGCTGTAGTGTTGTTGTTTTTGTAGCTGCTGCTGTTACTTTTGCTGTTTTTGCAAGTGCTGCTGTTTCTGTTGCTGTCCCTCTGAACCGACATTCGACAAAACCCTTTAAACAATGAATAAAATGATTTAATATTCTCTCGCTTCAGGGTCATGACAATGTATTGACGAACGATGTGCTATGTCTAATGGCTGTTTATCGGGAAATCACTTGTGGCTACAGAAAACCCAGGAACAAACTTCCTGTAAGACAATACAAACAGACGGCAAACGCGCATCCAATAACCTTTGAAATTATAGTTTTTGTTGTTGTTGCTATTTTTAAAGGTGGTTTCTGATTGGCTCAAAATCGAAGATGGCGGAATTTTGCACGCGAGAAAATCGCGAAAAGATTCTTGGATGCATATGGGTTCTGAACTAAAGCACAAATACTCCCTTATTTTATGACACGTGTACAAGCTCTGATGTTATTTTCAACTAATAATTTGTGTTTTTGTTGGTTGATTTTCAAGATTCAACAAGAGCTACGCAAATTTTTAGCGCTACCAGACCACCTCTCTACACAGGTATAACGTTAATGCTTATGTAAATAAAAGCTTATTTCTAAATTTTTCTGTTCTTCCTTGGAATTCATGTAAAAAAATATAGTCATTTGCAACTGCATGGATACCATTAATGATTATTTATCGTATAGGTTCATAAACTTGCAGCCAAACTGCTGGACAATTCACAAGGCGAAGGGTTTTCAGCTCTATCTGCGCAACCCAACCAACCACGAGCTACTGTTGACTTAGCCGAAGTGACTGTACACACCATGATTGTACTACATTGCTGTGATGACAATGAAATATTAATCAGAACTTTGCGATCCTTGATGGATAAACCTGCAGCTATGAAGGCACGTATAACTATTAAGCTAAGCACAATCTTCGGCAGATGAAAACGTCATAAATTCATTGACCAAAAAACTCAGTCTGGCCGAGCCAATCTATTAGGTTCTTGTACGTGGGTCGGGACTTAAAATCGGACTTAAAATCCACATTCATTCATTGCATTAACCCTTTTACCATTATACTAACGATGGTATGTTTGTGTTTCTACTAAGTTCTACGACTGCTAACTCCTAAACTAAGCATCCTGAGCCTTTTTTGCAGAGAATATAGTCACTTTAATGAGGGCGAAATCGGAGTTGCACACTTTTACTCTTAAGACGAGAACAACAAAAAAAGCCTTAATTCCTTTCCAATTTTTCTGCACAAAATCCTTCATTCATGCCAAAATTCAACCTTTGCAGGAAAGTTTGGTTCTTCTATTTTGCACTGGTCTGTCTTTTGTACCCAGTTGCATTCAGAGCAAGCCGAGAAACAGCTCTTTCTTTAGGGTACACTTTATGAGTCAAGTGTTTCTTTGAACTTCACTCGCGATTAATTGTTGGTAACGGTGAATTTTTTTCGACAGAAAGTAGCCCGCAAAGTATTTTTTTTAAGTGTCGAGTCACTCGGCCCTACCAGGAAAATTCCAAGTTGGTGTTGCTCTTTTTAAAAGTCAAAACTTGCCAAAATAAGCATGGTAGATCGCGAAGTCAAGCACAAGACTTCCAGGGAGTCGACTTCACTCCAATGGCGCCATTGTATTGAAATCGACGATTAATCACCATTGTCTTCGTGAAATCGCATTCCACTTTTGATTTCTTCCAGAAGATTGCCTCAGCCACCTTTTTCAAGCTTCATGATGCAAGTCTAGGAGCTCTGTGCGAGAACTTGACTCAAAAAACACTTAAAAAACAATTTTTCCTGTGTTTTGACCGAGCTGCTGATCGCTAGCTAGAGAAACGAGCAAAAATCTACCAGGCACCAGTTTCCTTGACAACTTTTAAATTACAAAAATAATGATTTTTTGAATCTTTCGACTTTAAAAGAAGTAAAAATTCTCGAAAATATCCGCCAGTTAAAGGGCTAATTAGTTTAGACAGTTGTGTATAGGTCATGTTAAATACGACGTTTCATCCACTCAAAATAACTAGTACTGTAACTGACTTTCAACAGTTTCAAAAGTTTCAACAGTTTCAAAAGTTCTTTTATCGAGAATATCAGGGGTCGACTTTGTAATTTGAGATATATATTTAACACTTATTTACTGGAACCGAGGGAAACAGTATTTTTTGCGGTCCCGAGACCGCTGATGTTTCCCGAAGCTAAGCTGAGGTTTCCAGTAAATAAGTGCTTTATTATCATATCAAGTGTCAAAGAGATCAAAAAGAGTAAATAAATGAAATGTTTTTATTAAAGATTTTGATAATATGACTGAAAAATGGCAATAAAAATAGTCAAATGTCACTAAAATCAATCAATGTAATAACACAATGAATACTATAACTATTTGTAGTCGAAATTAAATGTTTCATAACAATTTTGGAATGCACCGTCCGTGAATGTGGCATTTTCACGACACTGAAAATTGTTTTTCTGCGCGGACTTTGTACTTATTGACGGTCCACAACATATTATTGACCGCTGGTGGACAGCTGCCGGGAAACAGTAAAATTTTGTGACTTTCACGTGGTACACTCTCGACCAATAAGATACTAGGAAAAGTGAACTTTGACACTTGATATTTGATAAAATAATTTATATTCTATCACAGAACTCTTTCCTTCCCACAATGCCAGAGGATGATTTCGAAAAAGTTCGAAGCGGGCTAGCGGAAGATGTAACTTGGTATGGTACGTACGCAAAACATTACAGCGTCATTCATTCATGTATTATTTTTCTGATGTTTTGCATTTTTGTGTATTAGAATGCCCCGCTGGACATCGCTACTCAATAGGGGATGTAAGTCTATTTATCTTCAAATGGTTTTTTTTGCCGACAGACAGAGAGAGGTCCAATCATGACGAAATAGCTATCTATCCTGTTTTGGATCGACTCATTGAAGGCCCCGTCGTGCAGCACTGATTTTTTTTTACGCGATACAGCAGTCGTTATGTTAATTCTTTGTTTGCTCTTCGTGAACTAGTCTATAAATAATGAATTACTAGCTTAAATATCAGGCCCGTAACCAGGGGGTGCACTGGATGCACGTGCACCCTCCCAGAGAAACTGAAGGTCCGGTCATCTATCTCCATATTTTTTAAGGAATGACATGAATCTTTAATTTCGATTTATTTTGTCGATTTTATCCAGGAATCGGCCGGATTTGTTTTTAAAACGAACTGGATTTCGAACTGAATCCATAAGGAAATCAACATAACATAATCGAAAACACTAATTAATAAGTGTTATAAGTTGTAATACGCTATTGTGTATTTCATGGGAGTTGAAAAAAAACACACTCCGACTTTATATACTGAAAGTTCTACTAATAATAAAGGCCAATATTGGTTCGGTTTTATCGGATGTGCACCCTCCCGGTAGAAGTTCTGGTTACGGGCCTGAATATAGTGCTTTACAGAGTAATTTGAGTTCAATAGTAAAATCTGATGTATTGTTAATGATTTAAGATCATCATTCTCCCTCTCTCCCGCATCATCATCATCATCATCATCATCATCATCATCATTAACATCATCATCATCATTAACATCAGCGTATTTATTTCAAAACTTCACTAGATATTTGTAATAGTTTCATGATGTTTAGAATGTTAAGAAGCTAAGTATTGTACTTAATAATCTTAGTGTGGCCGAGCCTATCAGGAATCGCGTTGTCCAGAATGCAAATCAGAAATCGGCGGAACAAGACACCGGCTGTTGCCAGGCAACAAAGAATTGGCTGCTGACCGGTAAGTACAGAACATTCAAGAAACTGAGGTACAATATAAAGTATGCTAGATAAGAAGAAAAGCTTTGTTCCGTTCACACTTTATTGTTTGAAAAGTCGTCATTATTTTCACTCATATAGAAATGAAATAAAGTTATACACCCTTTTAATAAGTCCCGAGGTATTGTGTTCTCCGCACTTGACGTCAAATTTATTCTTTTGAATTCCTTTTGTATTGTAAAAATTTCAAAAGAATAAATTTGACGTCAAGTGCGGAGAACTCGATACCTCGGGACTTATTGAAAGGGTGTATAGTGCTTAAGGAAGCAATTCCGGGAGAGCGCTATACGCCAAACTTCACATGTGCCGAATACAACTCCTATTTTAGTCGACGTAAATGATTGCATACGGCATTTGATTTAGACACCGAATTTTAAGTGACGAATTTAATTCCCATTCAATTGGTCAAATGGTCAAAAAACTCACAATAAAACTCACTTTTTCATCATGTTTCTTTGTTTTATCCCTTTGCAACTACCGATGGTAACTCTTTTACTCATTTTATTCTCCTCGCGTTTCCATATCAAAGTTATTGCCATACATCGGGTGACATTTGCTTAGATTAAATCTTTTGATATGTTATATAAATGAAGAGGCTGAAAAAGAGCACAAATACGGCATTTTTTATAAAGAATATATAGGTTTGTCGGTCATCCATCCGTGGTGGACTTGTTCCCCCTGATTGGAAGTGCGCTCTTGTCAAACCACTTTTAAAAAAAACCTGATCTTGATCCTGTTCTCAGCAATGTCCGACCTGTCAGTAATCTATCCTTCATTTCAAAGTGTGCTGAGAAACTTGTACTTCAACAACTATTATCGCACTGCTCTGAGAATGCACCATTACCCAACAACCAATCTGCCTATCGGAAATTCCACTCTACCGAAACCTGTCTACTTAAGGTCCATAACGACATCTTGTTGAGCATGGATCGACGAGAGGTTACTCTTCTCGTATTACTTGATTTAAGTGCTGCATTTTATACTATCGATCATGAATTACTACTTGATTTACTTCAATCTGATTTCGGTGTTACTGATGATGCTCTTCAGTTGGTCCGTTCCCTTTTATCTGAACGACAACAGCGAGTGGTTATTGGTAAATCTTGCTCTAAAGACTACCAAATGAAATATGGATTCCCACAAGGAAGTTGTATTGATCCAATCCTGTTTCTGCTGTATACCTCACGACTTTTTAAACTTATGGAAAAACATCTACCTGACATGCAAGGCTACGCGGATGACACTCAACTTTATTTATAAAATTCATGAATAATTTATAGCCTTATTGGCCAATGGGGCTGCTCACAGCAAATCTCAAGGGGTTCTTGTAAATCTCATACAAACTAAAGAGCGGGGAGGGCTTGAATAGTTGGCAGGGAAATTTGGGGGTAAACTAAGAATRCAGACATGATGATTATGCTAAATAGTTATAACCACTAGTRTTTGTTACAAAAACAGTATATTACAACATGTGGTTGTTACATAAACAGAACACAAATGGTTTCAACTACTGATTTGAGAAAATTAAATAATAAAATATTCAGAAATGTTCATGTTTTACACATTTCAAAATGTTTATTTCTATATTTTCCTCTTACTTCTGAAAAACGCTATTAAAATTGAATGTAAATTAAATACTGGCCCAGTAGCTGCCGTACTTGTTATAGTGCTAGTATTTTGCCATTGATTAAAAGTTGATAAATCAAAATTTAAACCAGAAAATAATTCATCAGTTATTGCAAAATTTGGAAAGGAATCATAATTCATACCTATATTAGATAGATCAATACCACTAAGTATATCGTCTGACACATTAATTATCAAACAAAGAATCAAATAATGAAGGCTCTTTCATTGCACTCTTGCCTTTTTCCTCAGAATTTGGGGCACCTAAGACATTACTAACAAAGGCAACTTGTTGCTCACTTGGTTTCTCGTAGCGAAACAGAGAATTTGAAGAGTGACCTGTACGCTCTCGGATTTGTTTTTCATTTACAGAGCTTTGAAACAGACGAGTTGCGCACGTTACGCGCAAACAATGTGATGTTTTCCTTGGCAAACCTGCCTTAGAACATAATTTATCTGGCAAAATTTTATTCAAAGAATTTATGCCAACTGCACTCTTTTTTCATACTCAAAATTACCATTGCGCTGTGGTCTAAAGTAAAAAGAGTCGGGTTTTTCTTGAACACATGTAGAAATTTTACTTAGATAAAGTCTATATAGACTTTRCAAGCACCGACTATGACTCTGCCCGGGCTGGTGGCATTTGTGTTTGACAAACCTTGAGTTCTTCTTTAAATCTGTTAAGCCACCATGAAAAGTCTTAGAGACACTTTCATCAAAAATTATGAAATTATCTTTCAAAATTATATTTGAAAATCGCAGAAGACGATGTTCATTCGCCCTTAGGCCAAAAAGTTTTCCGTTGTAAAAGTACATTGTATTTAAAAGGCACTCAGCTGTTTTGGCTCCTAATAGTTCCTTTTCCCACAAAATCTCTTCTTCTTCTAAAGTGATTTCTGTTTTTTCTTCTTTCTTAGTTGCCAAATCGATGCCATGTTTGGTACCATCTCTCATTTCGCCATCTAAAACCTTGTGAAATAACTTAAACCTAAAAGAAAACAAATTATCATATGACCCGTATTTCGGCCCTACGCGCACTCTCACTGAAACCTTTGGAAAATGGTCACGTGATGGGGTCCGTACGCCTTTTCGCGACAGGTCCGTACAAACCCGTATTTTCCCGGCTTGAAGTTCCGCGCGCTTTTATTTATTTTTTTACATTCAAAAACGCTGTCATATGATAAAATGCTTATTGACTGAGTTAGGTCGGGCCGTACGGGAAAATATTTGGCTCTCGGTCATTTGTATGGACCTCGCTGCGCTCGGTCCGTGCGGCATAACCTCGAGCCAAATATTTTCCCGTACGGCCCTCCCACTCAGTCAATAAGTACATAATATTTCAGCCTTACTTCCTTTAAAAATCGTTCCAAAAATGATATGTTTCTCTTAAATCATAAATTCTGTTAACTTACGTCGTATTGCTTTTATCAAGCSGGTCAAGTCCACTGGTCTCACTTAAGTGTCGCTTTAAACCACACATGATAACATATATTGTACGTGGTGGATATCTTTGCCCTTTTGAGTTACGTACTTCTTGCACAAAACGAGAAAGCCAAAGGTTGCGGCTCGAGATTGTAATTCCCATACAACACGGCCGCTCATGTTGTAAACTATACATATCCTTCCGACCGTCATCTTCTGAGGAGATTGATAGGGCGCTATCTGCTTTGAGTGCTGCTGTTGCCGATGTTYGCGCTTGGCTTACTTTTCACAAACTKAAATTCARTGACAACAAAACAGAGTTTATCATCATTGGTACTCGCCAACAGCTTGCTAAAGTGGATATACCTTCTTTAAGAATGGGATCAGACGACATCACACCTTTAACTAGTATCAGAAATCTTGGCATGTGGTTTGATGAACATTTGTCTATGAGTGATCATGTCAGAAAGAGTTGCAGTAAACCCTTTAGAGGACTTTACAACATCAGACAAATTAGAAAATTTCTTACTACAGACACAACTAAGATCTTAATCCATGCCTTTGTTACATCACACCTGGACTATTGTAACTCATTACAGTTTGGTCTTCCTACTTATCAACTAGAACGCCTTCAAAAAGTCCTCAATGAGCTGCACGAGTTGTGTGTTATATTCCAAAAATTGACTATATTACTCCATCTCTGATAAATCTACACTGGCTTCCAGTGAAGCAAAGGATTGAGTTCAAAATTGCTCTACTGGTCTTTAAAGTGATAAATGGTTTGTCCCCTGTTTACCTGACAAACTTACTTCAGGCGCAGCCAACGAGGAGATACAACCTAAGATCTGATGATAAAAATCTCTTGTCCATCCCAAGATCTARYTCAAAATCAGGYGACCGTKCTTTCACYATAGYCGGACCTAGAATATGGAACGCTTTACCACTTGATATCAGACTGTCAACAAATGAGACCTTCAAGAAAAATCTTAAGACTCACCTTTTTAAGAAGGCGTATTATTGATTTTTTTCAGAAATTTTTATATTTATTTTTATGTATACATATATATATTTTATAATCTTTGCATCTATATTAAATTTATATTGCTGTAAATAACTTGTAAAGCGCTTTATTTTATTTTATAATTTAAACGCTATATAAATTAAATTATTATTATTATTATTGTTATTATTAATTATTATCATTAGAAAAGCAAAAAGCTTTAGAAAAATATCTCGGACTTGGCTCTCCGAAACCCTGGGACTCTTCAACAATAGCTTTTACTTCAATAGCCTTCATAAGAATAATCAAAACCACAGCATACAATACTCTTAAAACCATTTTTACACAAAGTATTTTTTCAGAACGATAGATGTATCACACATCAAAAATGCGCCAAATTTCATAAGCTATTTGAATTTGGCAGTAGGTCTTTCATTAACTAATTTTAAGTTATGCTCGAAGCCCAGTTTTTTGAAGCGAACCGTGTTACGCTGGAGAAAATCGGAGCGTAAATCGCTCAAAATTGAAGGAAATGGCCTGAAACTTCACAGAAATGTAAAGAAAAACAATAATAACAATATCCCAGCGAGGTCAGAAATTAATTTTTCCGAATTTATTCCTAAGGCCTCCTTCTAAGCACTATAACGTCTTTCATTTCTATATCGTGTTTATCATAGTGCCATGCGGTCTTCATATTCATATCTTTATATTATTTTCACTCGAAGCTTTTATCTTTTATAAACATATAAACGCCTCTCGATTTTTCTCTCTTTAAAAATTTGTTTCTTTGATTTCAAACAGAGAGGATCGTTCAGGTCGGGGTCATATCTTAGGAACTGCTAATCCCAACACACCAGAGGCTGGACGAGATGGTTTGTCCCCAGCAGCTTTTCACATCATCCGTTTGATAATGCATTCTGCTATGCTGATTGGATCTTGCAGGCATCCACAGGTGAATACAGTCTTTAAATGATTGAAAATTGGTTTTGAATTGTGAACACAGTGAGAGCTACCCCACTCAAAAAGAGAAATGAAAATTGAGAATTCAGTTCCTGAAATCTAGACACCAGCTGTTAAAACTCAAGACACTTTGGATTCCTTCCTTGTATAAGATTAGCTTCATCAGGGATCAAAACTCTTGTATTGCCCCTTGTTAGGTGATGACCTGCATCTGTTACAGTGAGGACTACAACAGGCGACAACACATTATGTCCGCAATTGTAGTCTAGAAGTTATTCCAACAAATAATGTTCTTGGAATTTCAGGGACGTCGGAGCGTTTTGTTAGGGGGGAGGGGGGGCTACTAACATAAAAATGGGATCTAAGAGTATTTTATCATTAAGACAAAAACCAAACAAAACAAAAATGATTCAATAGGAATATACTTTAAGTTGATTTCTGAATTTTTCTTTTCTGAATGAAAAAGTTAGGGGTGGCCATAGCCACCCTAGCCTCCCTAGTTTAATACTGTATTGGATATGGCTCATAAGAAACACAATGCGTACAGTTATGAATCAGTGTAGAAGTGAATCATTGCCATCACTTAGCAGTTTTGTTGACATTTGTAGAAAAGCGTTTGTATGGTTCGATGCAAACATAGTAAGGCTTTTGAATCGGACCTAAAACGTTCATTTCGTCTTTTTTTTCAGCACATCGCTGGGCTATTTACACCAACAGTAGCAGAGGACAACTTGAATGAATTCGTCTGGGCTCATTTGACTCGTGACTTACGAAATTTAGAAGCGGCGTTAAATCGTAGTGGGGACGAAGCTCTATGGACTGTTCATTGCGTATTGGCACGTGTTACAGACGTTTGCGCAGGAAGTAGCGGGAGGAGCCACCAGGGTCTGTTCTTCTACCTAACTGTTCTTTTTTCCTGGGAAAGGGATTTTGAGCTACTTTGTTGACAATCTCACAAGCAAATGTGGCGCCCTTCCTTCTTTAAAATAATTTTGTTCACTGGCAAAAGTTTTTTTTAAGTCAAAGACATGGCTTAAATAACGTTTTTTATGGTCAAAAACGGCTTATATATTTAATTTTTAGTTAGGAAATTTTTATTTTCCTGGCAGACATTTTTACAAAGTATTCCTTGCCTGGATAGTTCTTTTTTTCCTGAACTGCTCACTGTCAACCAGTTGTGACTTACAACTGGCTGGGACATAAAAACAAATATACTTCTCACAGAAACACGTCGCTTCCTCCTAAAATAGGGTTCTTTTTCTCTTCTTAGTGTTGTGTTGTTGTTTTATTTATCCGTTACTGCATTTCGTCTGTGATTTTTAATCTATTTGTTAAGTGATTGTGACTGGCTGGCTGGCTGGCTTGCTGATAATTGATGTATATTCAAGTCATTCACAGTGTATTGTTTGATTGATTAATGTTAAGATTCACCCATGTCTTTCGATGGCGCACTCACTTCAGCTGCCAATAGAAGACAATGGGAAAAGGAATTCACAGCATCATTCATCCAACCTATCCTCTCGGTAGGTTACTATATCAAGTAATTCACTTCTCAACTACCCGCTGTACAATGCCGCTACATAGCCTGTGAAGGGTTGAGGAGTACATCATTAAAACAAATTAACGGGGGAATAATGAGCAACAAATCCAAACAGGATTTAAGGAAATTTTAAGGGAAAAAATGCAAGTATGCGATGATGAAAGTTTGATCCCTGTCCTTTAGAGTCTGGAGTCAGAGTGCTATCTTTATTTGCCATAATCTGTATATTACAGAATCTAGGCAAAGAGGCTAGATCGAGACTTGCTTCTAGAGGCAGAGCGCTGTGTTTATTTATTATAATCTGTATATTACAGAATCTGGACAAAGAAATCGAGAATTGCTTCAGTCTAGAGGCAAAGCGTCAACCAGTGGGAATCGAACGGTTGATGAGAGAGATTTATGAGATTGATACCGAACAAGCTGGACAGTTAGGTCCCATGCATCCATGTTTTTGGAGATATCGTGGAAAGATCACAGTTGAACATGCAAAGCAAATGTTTTCAGAAAACATGGGTTCCGACGAGAAGAGAAAGAAGTATAGAGTCTTGCATGAATTCTTTAGAGAGGTATTTCTGGTTCATTATGCGCGAATATTTTTCTCACTATTCTATAGGTAAATTCATTGGGTGACGAAAATTCCTCTTTGTAGGAGCACAAACTCAGACTTTCTCGCTACATTCCTGATATCTACAAGCTGCAAAGATTTCTGATTGATAACTGCAGTAGGCGAATCGATTTTAAGAAAGCAGAGGAAACGACAATAAAAGCATTTATGCAAGGAAGCTTGAATGGTATGCATCATTATTTTCCTTGTCGAGCAGTTTAATGATCAATTCTTTCCTTTTATGTAGTTCTTTTTGATTAACTATTTGTTTATTATTTTTATGTGTACTTTTGTTATATTTGAAGATTCAAAACGAAAAGAGTTTAAGACTTTTATGAAAAGCTTTCGTTCTGCCTGGTCTGTAGTTTGCAATGAATTGGAAAAGCAGGGTAAGTGTTTGTGAGACCATGTGATGTAATCTTCATTATTTTGCTTATGATTTTATTGATGATTGAGAGTACAAACATTGAATGTGTGCAACACTTTAGACTATTTACTACAAAATAGTGCTTATAAAACAATAGAAAACAATAGAATTGTTGTACAGTTTTAGTGTTTGTACTCTAATATAAGAAAATTATAATATTTTAGTTAATTTTTTTTCTACGCTTTCCTTAGGAAAATTCAAACTTACAAGCGAGACATGCAGCTTGTCAATAAGTGATGATGACACACCAATGTCGTACTTTTTGCCTTCAGTCGGTAATGACCACCAGTCTTGTACCACTGCTGTGTTATTCTACCTGGTCAATGCACATAATGAATTCCTGGAAACATTCTACAACATCACAGCTGGTAGTGCGAGGTCTGTCGAAAGAAACACAACACAACATCGCATAACATAACACAACACAGCACGACAAAACACAACTCAGTGCGACATAAGATAACACACCACAACACAACACAACAACAGCAACACAACACAACGTAGCACAACACCAACACAATACCACCAACACCAACAAAACAAAGCATAAAAAATGTTATTTAGTTTTAGCTAATAATTTGTTTTGATTTCAGTAATGTTTCAAAGATTCCCGATTCGGAAATCACTAGCTATCAAATGCTGAGCTATGATTCTCAGCGTGACCTGCTGCCTTTAATTCATGCACATTGCCAGTATTCGCTTGAGGTTGGTCAAGGTACTAAGGTGGATTATGATTGGTCTGCCATACAGTGTCATTTGATTGATAGGTTGATTCGCGGGAAAAGTATAATTGTTTTTAAGGTTAGTGTCAATCGAGAGCAGCAGTAACAAAATTGGAAAATATTGATGATAACTTTTCTCCTCCCAGGAAACACAATTTATCTTCCTAAACCAAGACGAGGCCAAAACGTTTGGCTTGGTTCGTAATAAGATCCCTCAGGTAAGAAATGCACGTCGGTCGAACAATGTATGATATTAAAGATACTAAAGATCTTGTATTTTTTGTTAGTACAACACAGGAAACCCAAGTATTAGTATTCAAATTAGTTTTTTCAAATGTTATTTTTCCAGGAAAACATGCCCGCGACTACTGTAAAACTGATTATCGCTGACCTTCGCATGCTCAATGTCGTGTGTGACGTCAAACAGACTCTAGAGCTGGCTATTGGTTTCTTGGGATCTAGTGGGGGAGATGAGAGTCAGTTAATAAGCGAGTACTTGCACAGCGTTCTTCGTATTCCTCGTGAAAGAGGACTTCGGAACAAAAGAGTAAGCAAAAACCTCGATAAAATTTATTCTGCCGATAGCTACATGTTTAAGACCCTAAAAACGACCCTTGGCCTAACTCGCATGATCTTCCCGAGCAGGAATTCGACTCCAGAACACAGTTGATCGTATGAAAGGTTTATATAAAATCAAGACTGAACTATGTGCTCACGTGGTAAAAACTTTTAGAAAATTTGCTTCTACTTCATAATACCAATTATAAACAAACTTCTGATATTGTATCTATGTCACTATCAGATATTTAGACTTCGTTGAAGGCAACTCTTAGGACTTGCCAGAAAGAAAAACGGTGTCAAATGGGGGAGGGGGTAAGGGTAGACTCAATCTTCTTCCGTCCTCACCACAAAGGAAACCTAATTTACAATGTTGTAATCATTTGCGCTTTCGTAGGCCGAGGAGCACTGTCAACTGCGACATATCATCCATCTATGGCAGGTTGTGGCGTCACAAAAAGCTAAATTATTGCGACACCAGAAAGAGGTGCAGTATCTTATATTATTATATACATACTGAGATTTTCTCACATATATTTCTATTTGAAAATCYGTTTYRAAAKATTRACTAGCCAATCATAGGAGCGAAACGAATTTCTCACACGTGCGAAAAGCGTTTCGTCCAATCAGRAAAGACTTGTGAAAACGTACCACGGAATTCAATGACTTATGACTAGAGACAAGGCATTTTAGAAAGTGAATTGACAACTAATATTGTAAGGAGAAAAACAGAAATTCAACAGCTAAATCGGCGAGTGATAAAAAGCTAACTCGATGAATTTCCGCCGAGAGAAAAAGTCTTAAGCAAAGAAATMCAATTCCAAGAGACCGAAAGCAAATAGCTGAACGAATACATCACTGACATCTCTGCGACTTCATTATGATTGTGAAGCCTTAAGACACTGAAGTTTCTGAACCAGCAGGTCCTTAAGATATATTTTCAAGTTTTAATCGACATCTAAAAGAATTAATGCAAATATTCCCAGTATATTTCCCAAGACCACAGCGAAAACTCACTTAGTTCCAGCACAACTTCGATGTTTGAAACTGAAACCCGCGCTTGTCAAGTCAACCCGCCGTCGCCAGCAGTAGAACTGTTCAAAGAAGCTGGATTTTATATGGCAAATTTCTCAGTATTAGATATAAGTCCTAGATGTACTTCATCTTTAACAGAAGTATAGAAAACAGAACACTATTATATGGATAAAACGCGTCCATAAAAGTTGATTTGCGACGACGGTGATAGAAAGTAAACAGTTTCATTGATTAATGCACTAGTCAGTTGTTTCCACCACCCCCCCCCCCCCCCCGGGACATGTGGGGAATTTACCGGGCAATATATATATAATATATATATAATATGTATCATTTTCATCGTTGCCCTTGTGGTAGGGGACTTTTAACTGCTTATTTAGCCCTACACCCTGGGAGATTTCTTTAAAATTATCATTTGCATTTTCGATTTCCCCCACTATGTCCCGGGGGTGGGGGGGTGGTGGAAACAACTGACTAGTGCATAAGGTTTGTAGGCTTGTTGCACTGTCCTCTAATGTAGCTTTTCGTTATTTTTATCATAGTCAGTGAATGAAAATTGACTGTAAACTAAGTTATTGATGTGATTTATTTATAATCATCTAAGTCAGCATTTAAATTGTATCGTAGTTTGATCGCAAATATCTTAAAACGAGTTTGTAAGACAAAACCGCCATTAAAATGCACAAAAGTCGCTCAAGTAGACTCTATAAAATCTCAGTATGTATGTAATAAACAAACTTCATCATGGAAAGTGCTTTTGTACGGGATTTTCGCACTCGTTGGTTTTGAATCTAAAATCGAACGAGTGAGCGTAGCGACTAACCAACACCAACTCGTGCGAAAATCCCGTACGTCAGCACTTTCCATGAAGAAATCTATATTTACAGCATACGTTTTGCTGAATAAACATGGGGTATTTAAAATAAATTACTGCTAATCAATTTCAGGATTCTTTCCGAGATTTGCCAGAATGCTTCAAGGTTGTGCTTCCAAATAATCTGATTTTACAGCTTAAGAAAATTCTCAAATCTGCTGACGTTAATCAACTGTGTTGGGACCTGGTTGAAATCATCACGCTTGACTTGAACAGTGAGAAGAGTTCATACTCCGAAGTAAGGTAAAGGAATAGAGGCCTTATTCCAACAGATAAGCTGGCAAAAACCCTAGAATTGTACAAATTAATAAAGAAAGCACCAAAGTTTCAGGATATACTGGTAATAATGTGTAGATTAATAGTTGCGAGAGATCCCAACTGGATCCCCTCTGGAAAGACCATAGTTTTAATGGTCAAAATTTAGTGTCAGCGGTATAAATTGCGGGCTCAGAATTTTATTAAAAATGCCTTTCTACCACGACTTTCCCACAAAATTGCAATGCAATTGCAATGTGTTATACTACATTGTGTATAATCAAAATAGTTTCTATCTAGTTTTTGCTAAGATTTATCTAATGATTTAGAGGGTTAAATACGATAGTTTTTAAAGGTCTGCGATGGCATAGGGGCTTTTTTATCTATAAGATAATATTATAAAAAGAGTATTAAAGTCATTTATGTAAAAAGATAAATTTAACACCTCTTTACTCCGACGAAGGATTAACATCCGAAACGTCAGTAAGTTTTTCCACATACTTTTTTACGGTGTTAAATTTATCTTTTTACATAACTGTTTCTTTAGAAACACCGACGCAGCTCACACTAGTTTACCGCTAGTTCCCACCATATTAAAGTCATTGAAGGTTAACAATAAACCTTAAATATATTTACAGTTTACATAAAAAGATGTATTTGTTTGAAATTGAAGCGAAAAAAAAACACACTTTTAACAATATCATATGGTATCTAATTTTTCTGTTATTGTGTTATTTTTGAAGTGTTGTCATTTTTATATTTTTCAGTTTGCAAGAATGTTTAAGTTTTTTCTGTGGAAAAGAAAACGAGTTTGCAAAGCTGAAAATTCCTGAAGAAATTCAGCTGAAACACATCGTGAATGCATGGGAAATAGTCATGGAATTACAATCTACGCGGTAATAGATACTAGAGCATATAGATCCGTAGACGATAACACACATATAGCATCGGGAAAAGTGCACATTGTCAAATCAAAGTGGGATCAAATTTGAACATTTCCCGGTAGAAAATAATGAATTCGGTCAGAGAAACTATGTTCTTTAAAGGTGTGTTAGACCAATTTTTTTATATTTAATTGTTTTCCGCACACTAAAATTTATTCAGTACGTGTGCACAGCGACAAAAGATAAGACGATAGGTCTACTGCAAAAAAATAATTTCACTCAAAAAACAAAAGCAAACATAGATTATAAATAAATGCCTGCAGTAAAATATATAAACAATAAAATGAAATGATAAAAATAGTGATAAAAACCATGATGCACATGACATTAAAGTTCGACGTTTGAAGTCAAATCTCGTATTTTATTATTTTCAGTGTAAATAAAGAAATAGGAATTGTGTCGGTACATGTGAAAAACAACGTGTTAACCAGTCCAGTTTCTTTGGAACAAACGCTCCATATCAATCAAACAATGCCTCGCGTGTACTATCTATTTACAACGATATTATGTTCTTGGCTGACTAGTTTGTTCCCGCTTTTTGCTTGGATGATAATTTTTATCAAAAAATATTCAGTTCGGAATAAAAAATGTCATGAAATTTCAATGATTTTGTAAAATTCGTTAGCACCAACAGTTTGCTAATCCCTACGAAACAGAGTATAATAACAATAAAAATATACAGGTGAATACAGGTAGTTTTAGTATGACGCTATCGTGCAAAATATCGCAATGTCGTCGATCCGTACGACTGTCTGTTTGAAGAACGCTACTCGAGGTAACTGCCTCGACGCCGATATATTAGTCAGGTAAGCTTTTCAAACTTCCATTGTATTATGATATTGTCTTTTCGCTCGCTCAAAGCTCAGAAAGCTTGAAGCATATTCTGAATGGATTATGTTTTCGTTTGTACGTTTGTTATAAAAGGAAAACATTCTTATATAGATCATATTTTTCCTGGTCAAGAAAAACCAGGTATTCTTGACCGGGAAAAATTGACGCAGTTGTTATTTGCAATTGGTCATGTAAATTAGGCGACGAGAAAAACGTTGTAAGTAATTTCTATTGCTTTGAAAACCTAAAACAAGGGTAAAATCGGTTAACTTGGTTAACTAAGTAAACAACGAAGGACAAACGTTTGAAACATCGATGTTTTTTTATACAATTCATCCTTAGTATCTTAGTTACGACAGAGCTAGTAACTCTGGTTATGAGGCTTTCCTCGTGTTCCGATTCATAAGGCTTATCCTGCTTATCTAGCTCCTGTTTTTAACCCTTTTACTATAGCCATTACGGTTCACGACTAGACGGTGAGCTACAGAGGAGCGGACACACCAATTTGTGACAAGCCTAAAACTACTTTGTACCGAATAATGATCTTGTTCATTTTCCTTGTACTTGTAGCTCCTGTTCAATTCCCCTCACGATACACAAATTATACAAGATTATGACAAATGTATAAAAGTCTTGACTATATATATTTAAGTAAGTTTTACCCATTTTCTGTGACTGTGAAACGTTTGACTTGATCCAGTAAAACTGATTTGGGATTAAGTAGCTCTCGTTAATATATACATCGCTGTCAATAGTTGAGTTTCGCGATCTCTGTTATGCTGTATTAGCCTCAATTGTGTGCTAAAATACTCAGAAATTTAGATAAACTCGTGAGATTTCAAACTATTTCCATTGTCTTCTATACTCACAGATCTCTTGCATTTGCACGGGCTGTTATTGAATAAAAGAATTTATTACATGGTTTTGAGGCTAACACAGTGTAAAAGCGATCGCTAAAGGGTTTATTCAGATTTCTATAAACATTACATCGTATTTGAAATCGCTATTCTTTTTCCAATAAATTGTTCATTAAAGTTTTGTTCGGCAACACGATAAGTTCTTTCCTTCGTTCGTTTTAACAAATTCCTTTCATTTATACTGAAATGAGAAAATGCATGAGAAAAGGCTTCCCATTAACTTATATTACCGTCATTTCTACTTGAGACAGGAGAGCAATTTGAAAAAAGATCAACCCCAAACAACAGACTAAACGGTGTGCAAGATTTGCTTCTTCTGCATGTTGTTCCAGTATTGCCGACGACGCAGCTTACAATGAACAGATACAGCTCTTTAGTCTAGATTTCTTCATTGTTTTGAGGGGTAGATTGTAGGCATCAAAATAAAGTTTCTTTTTGGGTAGCCTGAGTACCAGGCTCCTTCCAGTGACATCTTGTTTAGATTTGAAACACAGACCTCGCACAACATCTTAATTTCTTCATTCCCGATCAATTTTCACCAAACAGGAAACCGACGTAATTTTCCAGAATTACATTGCAGTGGCGGATTTAGGTGAAGGGCCTGAGGGGCCCGATGCCCCTTCCCCCTTTTTTGGGAAAAAGGAAATTCTCGTAAATGTTTTTTTAAACAAATAAATCTTTTTAAATGAAAAATAACAAGTGAATTAGCTAGTTTCCTAATTAATTCGCTAATTTTAAAGGGAAATTTCTATTTGATAAGTTATCCAAACTAAGCCGTCATGCAAATTTCCCGCCAAAAGTTCGCGCCATTTTAGTGCCCTACCACCCTAAAAAATGAACTGAACTTTCCGTGAGCCATATTTATTTTTTTTGTACCCACGCAGATATAATCGAATCAGCGTGTGTTTGAAAGAAAGGTTTACTTGAAGCTTTACCTCACATTAACGATTGAGGAAATTGTTATAGAAGTATCTCATAGTCTGTAGAAAATTGCAGACAAGCATTAATCGTGAAATCGCGAAGAAGACTTGGAAATCCTATTTTTAATTTTTCAAAATAGGGATTCTTATTTGATAAAATTAAGGAAGAAACAGCTAGAATTTTGAGCCCTTGCCTGCGGAAAAAAAGCTGGCGTTAACGGTTGCGAGGGTCATCTAATCGTGCAATTTTTTATGTACTTGTCTAATACTTTGTGATCATACAATTATCTATGAAACACCGCAGAAAGACTCCTTGAGCATTCGTCACGTGATCGCATGATGGCTTCTATGTAGCTACATTGAACGGTAGCGTTGAGCGGTCTTTATAACATAGATACTATATAACGCGCGCTCTGATTGGCTAGTTTTCTATGAAAAAGAAATGGATGGATCATAGAGATGGTTCATGCTCACGTCATTACTGTAGGAAAACAAAAATTATACGAAAAACCTGGAACTTTTCATATTTTTCTTGAGAATAGCGATTTATAAGCTTCGTTTTTGAATAATGGCTAATAATAGCCCAAACTTTGCGTTTGACTTTCTAAATTTTGAAGCTACAAATTGTAGCCAAGAGGGAGCGATTGTTTAACCGTGAAAGAGAAAGCAAAACAATATACGGACAGAGTCGCTTCGCTAATCTAATAAATGAGCGAGATTTGATAAGATTGAAGATAAAGCATCCAAAAAGACAAAGATAGACACTAACTGGTCTGTTTCTACATTTATAGGTAAGTTTTTCAGATTTTAAACAGGTATTTTTTCTACTTAAAATTGATGAACCACGGACGATAAACAATAAAACAAAAGTATAATTTTTGTGACTAGTTTAATATCATTTTTACCTCGTTTTCTTGTAATTCACATCATAGTGCAACGAGAAAAACATTCAAACAGAAAACACAAAGATTGGCCAACTTGATGCAAATCTGAGAAGATTTTATGGCGAAACGTACGGCAAGAAGAGTCTCCTAGGTTTCTGTGACGGCATCGAAAGATACCTAAATCAGCCAGTGTTCTCAAGAAATCTTAAGATGTCAACAGACACAAAGTTTTCAAGATCAAACTCGATATGCTGGTGACACACATCTTGTTCAAATCAAGAGTTTAGGCAGTCAACACAAAGCCGGCGATTGAAGATGAAGACCTCTATGAGAAGTTGAAAACATATTCAAGCGTCCAGGGCGTTAGTTCCCGTTCAGAAAACAAGCCACACGGCTGCTAGGTCACAAAACCATGAGATGAGGCCGATTGTATGCAATTTGGACTCAATATTCAGCAACTGTACCATCCAAAAAACGTGCAAGTCGTCGCCTCCTCATCCTTGGCGAATCCTCCAAAATAACTTGCGATTTTATCAAAACGTTTGATCTTTTGAAATAGAAAAAGCTTCAAACAAACTTTAAACTTGACATTATAGCCAAATATTTGTGGAATAGACTTCCTGTGTGTTGTATTTGGACACAATTTCGTGACTCACATCTGTACGTTTGAATAAGACTGCGTCTCGAGCATCTCTTACGCTAGCTTCGTGCTCTCCCAACTATCCGCGTGCATCCCTCATTGGATGGACGCACGCTAGATATTGTCCATTCCTTAATTGGATATTATGGACTAATTACTTCTGAAGCTAAAAAAATGTATTTCTAAAATGCCTCTGGCTGTTTATAATATTCTAGATCAGCCATGAAGCTAAATTTTCATTGTGTAAGCTGAGGAGAAATTGAGGAATACATGGCTGAATACGAAAACCCAGTGAAAATAAACATCGCCCGGTGGTGTATTCCATCGTTTGCTCGAATATCTTCTGCGTTGATTACTAGGTCTTTTAAATGTGACAAGTTTCAATGAAGCCTTGAGGTGCGTAAGTACATCTCGCTATAAAAAAGCTGTCGACCTTTGTGGATGCTTCCTGCAAATATGGACCTGTACTGTACACACTTGCGTAGCAGGAATCTTTTTGAGCATTTCCTTTTATTTCCTTATTCTTTAGTGGACTTTTCTTGTTTTGCTTTTGTTTCACTGACGCAAAATTGTGCTGGAGTACATGTATATATCTGCATTTGGATACTTTTCAATGGAATAATAGAAACCCACGTGATAAAATGATTTTAAAACACGCTCTAGTCATCGAAACTACCTTTAATTTACTTTTAGCCTTCGTTCCCAATTACAGTTTTGAATGAAATGCAGCAAACACACAATCTAAACCAAAAATTTATAGCAATTACTGAACGATAAACGAACGTTAGTAAATCTACACTGAGTTATATCCTCGTCGTTTTTGGTGGATGTCAACCAGTTTCACTGTTTGCATGAATTGATGATCTGCACTTTACCATATTTAGTACCGGATATGACGTCATTCCATGTCAAGACATTCCCGGATGTAGTACTTCCGTAATTTCTCGACATAGCAAAGATCTCATTCGGTCCCAGTACTCTATTCCAGATGTTAATCCCGTTCAGCTCACCAACGAAAGACTGGGATTTCTCGAAGCCTCCGCCCACTTTGTCCTGATCTTGACCGATTATCAGCGTACCTCTACTTCTGGTCACGTGACCTTTACTTATGATCCCTTGAGCACGTCGAAAGCCGTCTTTGTAGAGAACTATTTGACCAG